TACGATTATTCTTTAAAATAACAACAACAACCTCCTAAGAAATTGTTCAGATCGGATCATTATGGCATATAGCTGCCATACAGACTGAACGATCAAAATTAGAGTAAAGATATTTTGATCCTTTATTGCTACAAAAAAATCACTTGTTAAGGGTATTATAGCTTCGGTACAGCCGAAGTCAATGATTTTTCTGTGTTTTTTTTTTTTTTTTTTCAAACCGCTGTTGTTATTTATCTCCACCTTTAACCCACAACTCAACTCGAGTTATGTTTTAGGCATGACGCTCTCGCTGCGACCACACCACGCCTCTCAACACACTCGTAAAGTTGCCTCGTCCGGCAATCAGCTCCCTACTAATGTCGCCGTCTCGCGCGCCAGTGGCACAAACTAACAAATGTACAATGTAAATAAAAATAACAGTAAAAACATAGTTGTGGCATTTATCGTCATCCCTCGCAAAAGCCCTTGCCTCAGCTCCGTTAAGCATTGTTGTTATTTTTGTGTCTTAACTGCCGTCAGCGTACTTATGTGCTTCACCTGTTTGACTGCCCGACTGACTGGCGGTTCGTTATTAGTCTGACTACGGTTTTATGTTGATGAATTTGTAGCCATTGCCCGGTGGTTGCCCATCAAGTCTATCGTCGTCCATCGTGAGTATCCGCCGCAGTCAGGACCTTCAATATTGTTGATTTACCTGTCCAGTCGCAGTCGCTTTATCTGTTTGCTTTTATCTTTGATTTTTTTGTTTTTTGGTTTCTGTTTCTGTTTCTGGTTTTTTTTTTTCTTTTCCTTTTTTTTTCTTTTTTTTTCGTATATTTCACTGTCCACCTTTTGCTAGCCTGCTTCGCAAGCAGACGGCAGCATTGCCGAGCTCAACTTTTTGATTGTTTAGAGTCGTCATTGTGGTCGCATGCATGGTGGGAATATGGCGCGACACACAGCTACGACACATCAAGCTGTTGGCAGCGGCTTTCGTTGCCGAGTTTATGACTTTAGAAGCGCTTCCTTTTCAATGATTATTCATTTGCAAATATGGCTTCCAATGGAAGGAGACAAAGCGATGTGGCAATAAATGTATAACCTGAAGAGGATATATTAAGTTGGCAATGTTTTTTGTAATGTCCGAGACCAAGGAAAGTACCGGGTTTTCTAAAGGAGATGATATGATTTCTAAGTGTCTTTTCTGATATTTTTAGTTACCCGTAGAATAAATAACTGCTCGAAGTAATGAAAATATTGCTGCCGTTCAGGCAAGTGTTGCTGAATACCTCAATTTGTCATTAACAAGATTGTTTAGGAATTGGGACTGTCTCAAACCACAATCTGGCGCGTTTTGAGCAAGAATTTAACTTGCATCTGTATAAATAATTCTTCTCACTCAAGAACTAAAGCCACTGGATGACAGTAAACATAGTGAGTTTGCTGATTTTGCCTTGGAACAACTTCAATACAATGAGAATGATTTATAAACATAAAACAACTTCTCCGATGAAGCTCACTTTCATCTAATTGGTGCAGTAGATAAACAAACCTGTCTATTTTGATGCGAAAAGTTTCCACAAGCTATTCATGAACAACCATTAGATACACCTAAATTGTCAAGGTGGTGTTGTCTTTGTCAAATGGAATAATCGGTCCGTACTTTTTTCGAAATGAAGCTGGTAGCACCGTTACTGTGAATGAAAAGCGGTCTAGATCGTTCATAACCAACTTTTTATGGCCGAAATTGGAAGAAGTTGATATTGACCATATCAGGTTTCAACAAGATAGGGCTACCAATCAAATTATTTCGAGAAAAGTTTGGAGATTCGATTATTACAAGCTGTGACTTAACACCATTTGAATACTTCTTGTGTAGTTATTTGAAGTCACTGGTCTTTAGCCATAAACCAGACTCACTTCAAGCTTTAAAAGTCAATATTCAATGAGGTATTGTTGATATACGATTTGATTTAGTGGAAAAAGTAGTAGAGAAATTTGGTTCGTTGAATTCGTGCACGCCAAAGGCAAATCTGGTGAATACGGAACTAGATCGACCTAGATAACCCTGGCTCAATGGTGCATTATCAAGGTGTAAAATCCATGAACTGTTCTTTCACAATTCCGGCCGTCTTTTACGGATGATCTCACGCAAACAACTCAATCCAACCAAAAAGAACTGTGGTATATAGTAGATACAAATCGAATCAGACCGCAGTTTAGCAAGTTATTTTCAATTCCTCATTGTCTACCCACAACATATTCGTACTGTCAGTAAACTGGTTTTCAATTAAGCAAGTTATACACAACGAGTTTCCCTGCAAATCTTTTCCACTCACGTGTTCGGCTACAACTTTAGCAATATTCCGAAAGCAGAAATTTATTGAAGTTGTTGAACTATGTTCCCCCAGCGCTGCTTTAATGCTTAATGAACGAGAGGAAACGAACAAAGCAACCGCAGACACATATAGACACACACACGTCGCCACTAACGGTTACTAAGCCACCGCGCTAAGCCACATCCTGTCATACACACACGCAACACACACATACCAAAGCCAGCTTCCGCTTCAACCAAGCACACACACATGTATATATGTACATGAGTGACACCCAACCGGCGGCTGCTGAGTATGCTTGTGTGGAACGCAAATGAGTTTCAACAAAGTGCGCCGCATGTGGCAGTTAGTGGTGGTGGCATACTTTGCCTGTCATTGAAAAGTTGCTGCCATCAAATATCGCCATAATTGCGCACGAACTGCTGGCGAACAAACGGCGACGAAAGGCTACGAGCGACGCTCGTTCGAGTGGCAGGAACAAACGGTATTGCTGAGTTGCAGCAACAAGAGCGACACATTGAATTTCTGGAGTTGGGGCAATAAGCGCAAAAGCAGTGACAGCAGTGTATCTGTCGCAACACCGCATCAGTGATAAACATGCGTATGTGTGCGTGGAAGCTGTAGGCAGATGCTGACTTAGCATTTGATTGCCACCAGCCGTCAGCAGCTAAAGCGCAACTTCGCGACTATTTGCCAGCGCATAGACCGTGTTGTTGCCACATATGCAACTTTTGTGACTCAAGTGTCTGCCGCAACTGTTGCTGCTACCAACAACGCCCTTAACGCCAATCGCTCTCACAGGCGAGCGCATGCAGGCTACGCAAAAGAGCAAAAATTTAATTAAACTAGCAATTCGTCTAAATATTGGTGCGCGTGTGTGGCAACACTGGTTGTTCGTGCAGTGCACAGCTTGGCAGACAGCATGGCCCCAAAGCGTCTGCATGAGTATAGGCGCACTCACACACACACACCCCTCCTACGGGGCGGTTGGTTCAATTTATTGGAAATGTTGCGCCACGCAGGCGACAACGACGTTGGGTCGCAGGTTATGGCGCAACATTGAACCTGCGGCGTTGAGAGGCCATGTGCGGCCTGGTTGGCAGTGTAACATGGCGTAACGGCAGTAAATGTCAACACTCGAACACCGTTGACAACGCAGCGTGAATGAATTGGTTTCAAGCGCGCCGATTGCCATAAAATGCCGGCGAATGGATGTGGAACGCGTACGCTAAGGCGACGCAGCCATATGGACGTCGCTGAGTGCTGTGTGACGACGTTGATGGCGCTGATGGCTCACATGCACCGTGAAGTACCTAAAGCACGCAATTTTCTGACGCTTGTTCATGCGACAACAAATGACGTGCAGAGGGGTGATGGGCAAACACCAATCAGCCAACTGCCACAACTTGATATGGCGCAATAAACCTGTGCCGAATGCATAAACTCAGCGATTGAAAATGCGTGCTGAAATTACGAGCCACGCTACGGAAGGTCGAACTACATATGGCTTCGGCGACCGGCAAAGTGTAGAGGGAGTCGCATATGGGAACGTTACAAACACATACCGAGCGCATTTTGAAAGTAATGATGCGAGGAGTCAGACGAAGTGATAGTCCACAACGATTTCTTCTTCTTTTTCTTGTACTTCTTCTTCTTCATTTACTTCTTCCGAAGTCACGCCAGCTATGCATCCCAAGCGCTTACAGTTCGCTATCTACCTGGTCCTTCTATTGGACGCATGCAGGCCCGTTCTTCGTCCGTTGTCCACCAATGAGAAACGAGTCGGAGCAGCTTTACGCTGAAGCTACATCTTCCATACGAACGACAAGGCCTAACCAGCGCATTCGTTGGATAATGATCAACTTTACTATACACATAACGCCGTAGAGCTCATGCGGTTCGTAGATGCATCTGTTTCCAAATTCAGTACTAACGCGGACGGCTCCAAATATCTTACGAAGAAGACTCCGGATTAAGTAGGCAATTGAGAAGTAAAGTTCACTCTCGTCGAACAAAGACCAAATGGTCATCCCTGTCCAGTTACATAGTGCAGCAGTATGGAAGGAGACAACATCTGATGAGTCGGTGTTACGAGTTTCCCAGAGAAAGGTTCTGCAGAAGATTTATAGTCCTTTGCGCATTGGCACCGGCGAATACCGCAGTCGATGGAAGGATAAGCTGTACGAGATATATGGCAACATTGATATAGTTGAGCGAATCAAGAGGCATAGGCTACAAAGGCAAGGACATGTCGTCCGAATGGATGGAAATACTACAGCTATGAGCATATTTGATGCAATATTCGCAGGTCGAAAGCAGAGGAAGGGAAAGAAATTCACTACGTTGGAAAGACCAGGTGGAAATATACCTGACTACACTTGGAATCTCCAATTGAGGCCAAACATCTAAAAGGACGAACGACTTGCGCCGTTATAAACTCGGCTTTAACCGCATAAGCGGTATCTGCGCCAATAAAAAGGAAAAAAGGAAAAGGTCGTTGAAATGGGTCACAACTCTAACCAACCTCTAAACTCGCACCAACGAAATACCCGTATTTTTGCTATCGTTACCAAATCTTGAACTGCCTTACATATCTACTGCTTATATATATACATATGGCGTTTAAATACGACTTATTCATAATAGTTTTAATACTTGTAGTTGTCATAAATTGGCACTCACCTTCTAAATCCACAACGCGACCGGCTCGTTTTAGTGCGCGCACTGCCTCATCATGTGTTGCTTCGCGCAGCTCCTCGCCGTTCACCGACAGTATGGCATCGCCCACATACAGCCCCTTGGCTTGATCCGCCGCCATGCCGCGGAAAATTTTCGATATCAATATGGGCATGCGATTTTCGCGTCCGCCCTTAATGGAAATGCCGAGACCGTTGTTGTCCGATTTAATGATGCGCACCTGCCACGAATAAAAAATCATCCAAAAGTAAAAACAACACGCGCATGCATGTGCAGCTTACTTACATGTCTCTTTTGATTTGCCACATGATCAGGTACATCGCACATATCCAGTCCATTGTCCAACGTATTATTATTCAGCAGATGGTCGCCGCCGTTAGCGCTGCCACCACCATTGTCCGTACAATCGGTATCAGCGCCGTTGCCCGTGCTCGTGCCCGTGCCGCCCATACCCTGCATGGAGGCTGATGAGGGTATGGACCCATTATGACCGCTGTGATTGCTGCTGCACAGTGCAACGATAATAAAATAACACAACGAAATGCACAATTAAAAAAGGCACTTAATTGCGAAATGGCGAGCGAGTACTGCTTATAACTTGCGCAGTTTATACCCATATATAGCCATATATATATACTATATAGTTATACCAGCACTACCAGCTACTTACCCCAAAGTGCCATTCAGTGTGGTCGATTGGTCCACACTGATGGCCGCCGCATCGCAGGACTCGTCCAAACTAATTGCCAGAAAGTCGGTTTCCAGCGTCACCAGCACCCGATACCAGGCGCCTCGCACGCGCGTCTCCAACGTGCCGCAACGCATGCCGGAGGGCGAATGCTGTGCGGTGGCGGTGATGGCAGCTGTTGCCGGCTGCTGTGGATTTACACATCCAGTTAGTGGCCGGCCAATGGCTGAAGACTCCACCATGGCGTGGCGTGGTGTGTGGTGTGCCGCAACAGCTCAGCCGTCAAAGCGTGGCTATCACGGCCACTTACTTGGTTGTTGGGCGCTTTGAAAATGCGCAATAACGTTGTAGAACCTTTGATATTGCGCTTGTCGTTGTCGCTGCTGCCAGTATTGTATTGTTGGCTGAGTCAAAGTGAATAGTAATACCGCGCCTCTGACACAATAAACCGTTATTGCATGATATGTAATGCTTGATATCGCTTTGAAGCGTATGATTTTGACACGTTCACAGTCGGTTGCTGAAATCGAAATGAAAGCATCGATAAGTGAAATTTTTGTTAAAACATTAGAGGACAGAAAGAATATCGAAAATGAAGTGGGTAGCTAATACTCACGGAAAAGCTCTGATTTAATAATGAATGCCAACGAACTTTTTACTTAAAAATGCTAACCGCACCACATGAAAACGGCACACAACTGAACTAACAAGTGATTAAATCCGCACCTGTCAAATACCAAAAGACGGATTTCGATTTCGGTTGCAGTTGGCAAAACCTGTTGGCGGTACACGATAGCACCAACAATTCAACTGTGCAACCAGAACACCGCAACGACTCTCGAACCCACGCAAACAACAAAAAAATCTCGAACTTTTTGGTAGACAAACAACGAACTGTGGTTGCACACCCCAGTGTTGGTGGGTGGGAATAAAAATGCAATAAAGCCAAACTAGGAGTGAAAAAAAATACAATAAAATGAAATTAAATTTTGTATGTTTTTGGGTATTGTAGTGTGTGTGTGTGTGTGAGCAACCGTAAGGCAACAAAAGTCGCCAACTGGACGAGTGAATGCTTATGGATATGAGTGGAGGTATTTATTTGATGAACCCGGCAATGTCAGTGCCATAATACATACGATACACTTTGGTTACAGCTACTCGAAACCGTTTAATGGATCTGAGAACAACTGTGCTGTGTAAAATCAGTTAGACTTGCTAAGCTTAGCTTAAATGGTCTATCGTAACAGAGACTTGAGAGCTAATAATGCCGGTCCGTTTTGGCACATAGAACTCACCTAAATTTTATCACAAAAACCCGCCTGAATCTACGAAGCGCTTTGAGTTGAATACAAATTGATTTTGAAATTTTGAAAATTTGCATCCGACTGGACTTTTGGTCTTTCAAGAGGAATGTCTATTGGACAAAGTAACGTAAAAACGATTGGAGCAAGATGCACTTTGTTAATGGCAAATAGTTTATAAGATCTCCTGCGTTGTACCAGAAAGATGACCCATTCGTGCAGAGACTGGTCGTTACTTAATGCCTGCTAAGTCTACAAGTTCAGAATTACAACGCAAGTTGTCAACGGAGATTCAACTTCTTCTCAAGTCGAGCATGATTAGAATGCCCCAACTTGCAAGCTAATCGGCCTTGCAGTTTCCAGCGATTCCACTAAGACCAGTCATCCAAAAAAGTGTGATCATGTGCAGCGTGATGCTATGTCTAGTGAGATTCAACACTCCTTGACTAATTTTGAGCGTACAGTTTGCAAGCTACACTAATATTGCCGCTTTCTGGTCCGAAAAAATGCTCCACTCCATGTAGTAAGAGTATTGAAATGAAACAGAGCGTTATATAATAATAACTATCATTATATTTCCAGTCGGAATTAATAGTACTTTCCGCCTTGCTTTTAATTCTAGACTTTTTTCAAGGCTGATTAGATTCACTCGACTCTTGCTCTCTGAGAGCACTCATCAGCAATTTGTATTAATGGAACTGAGGAACGGCATTTCAAGCTCCTTACGTGTAACTGCAATCGAAATCATTATTTTTCGGAAAAGGCAAGCTGGTACGATAAGGCGTGCCGTGTCGCAGCGGAGAGCAAACAGACCGCCTACCTCGCAACGTTGCAATCGACCACAACACGTGCGCGATGGAATATATACCGAGAGCTGAAGAGCGAAACGAGACGCATTTGCAGACAGACAAGTCAGTGTTGGAAATGCATGAGTACGAAGAGCTTGATAAACTGGCTGACAGAAGTAATGTTTACGAAAAGATGCGGCGTCTAACAAAATCTTTCAAAAGCGGATCATAATATTTTAGAAGCCCAGAGGTGATTTAGTGACTGATGCCAAGAGCATACTGATATTATGGAGTGAACACTTCTCCAACCATTTCCCAATCGATGACGATGGAACGGACTTTCCACTGCCCGACCATTCAATCCACAAAAGAGCAGTTATCACAATCTGCGCCAACTACCGTGGAATGAACCTCCTCAACATCGCATATAATGTTCTATCGAGCTATTGTGTGAATGATTAATCCCCACCGTCAAAAAACTTATTGAATCTTTCAGTGTGGTTTTAAGCCGGGAAAATCAGCAACCGACCAGATATTCACCATGCGTCAAATTTTGAAAAAGACCCGTGAAAGGAGAATCGACACACAACACCTCTTCGTCAATTTCAAAGCAGCTTTCGTCAGCACGAAAAGGAGCTGCCTTTATGCCGCGATGTCCGAATTTGGTATACCGCAAAATTAATACAGCTGTGTAAAATGAAGTTGAGTAACAACAAAAGCTCCACGCCGTTCGATATCAAACGTTATTTCAGACAAGCCGACGGCCCATCGTGTGACTTCCTCAATGTACTCCTGGAGAAAATAATTCCAGCGCCAGAGCACAATAGAAAAGGTACAATCTTCATACCAACCGCGCCGTCAGTTCTTCCTTCTCTAGATTGAATAAAGAAGCGAAGAAAATAGTTCTGTTAGCGAATGAGGGCAAGACTAAATATCTCCTGTCATCAAATAAACAGTCTTCGCCCTTGCAACCTAACTACCACGTCACTTTTGACATAACTTTGAAGTCGTAGATAATTTCGTCTATTTTGAAACCAACATAACGTCAGGCTACTAACTCATAAGAACACTCGATATCGGCACAGTCAAAATCCAGATCTTGTATGGAAAACCTTTTTATTTGACGGAAATGACACGGAATTTGGCACGGACTATTTTCTACTTTATTGAAAACTTGAACACACTTAGAGCAAGCTGCCTTCAGAATGGTTTCATCCAATATGTTAAGGCATAAGAGCACACCGAAGCAAAGCTAAGCAAAACAAATTTTTGTTGCCAAATTCAATTTCATTATTCACACACAATTTATTTGCCGCTCCGCACGTGCCCACGTACTACCTGCAGATGTGTGTGTGTAGATACATGCTATGTATGTATGTACATTGGCGCATTTCGAAATAAGTCAACACAAGTTGCCGGCTGACATGTGAATTCCCACAACTCTAATTGTGTCAAATTAATTTTGCTTTCCTCAAATTTCAAGAAAATAAAATGGAATGCAAACAATTCAAAATATGACCACAAAACATAACTTTCGCCACACACAAACACGCATGCACATAAGCAGCGAAGTACATACATACACATAGGCAACGCAGCCCACACACTTGTGTATGTTTATCCACAAATCAAGTCATACTCCATTTCACTTTAAATTTCCCCTTGGCGCTCAGTGCAAATTGTTCGTATCGTGAGCGTCTTGGGAAATTCGCATGCGAATGTGCATGTATGTATGGGTATTTAACTGCACACATACATAAATTTAAATAATTTATAATTTAAGGCTTTTTTGTGTGCTTTAACAAATTTTGATGAAATGTCAGCTACACTGCGACACGTTGCATGTTAACGACATTGCTGCTGCCACACAGCCATATCGTTAGTCGGACTGCCATATGAGACTGAATCTCTTAAGTTAAGACAATTTATACACACAGCAAACATTTACTTAACTTCATTTGCGCATTGATCGGCAGCGGCTTTGATTTATTGCCACGCGAGCGCAATAAAACTTGCTCCACATTATTGCAGCAACTGTCAGCGTTGTGGCAGTTGAGTTCATGCCCATTGTAAATATTGTTGATTGCTGGCACGCCGTCAACAAGCTGCCAATTTGTGCGCTTTTATTGCTTGAAACTGAAGTGGCAAGCGCAGGCGTCCGCGCATCGAATTTCCGCGGCAATAACAAGCGAACGGCGAAAAGTGATGTAAAGAGCTTGGCAAATAATCCGTTGAACGCGGCTTGAATGCGCAAGCGACAGTGCTTGGAGGCAACAACTCAAAAGTGTTGCGAAGCCACTCAGAAATTCCAGGGAAACCGTAAACGAAGTTGCGTTAAGTGGAACGCGGCATGAAGCGGCAACAATACAAGAGACAACACCTAACCTAAAGGCATGCGACATGAAACCATGTAAACTGCGCGTGGCACAACATTGAGTCGCGCCAATAAAAATCAGTTTGTTGCACTTACGTGCAACGGGCGAACAACGAAATGCCCATAGGCGCTTAGACAGAGAGGAAAGTAAGAAGAGCATAATTATATGGCAGCAACGGCGGCAAACCTCAACCAAAGCACGGTGGACTAGACAACACTGGGACCTGGATTTTCACCTGACCCAAATATTAAGCGGGCATGGGAGCTTCAGAGGCTACCTAAACAATTTTCTGCTTGTTTCGTGGGAGAGCCTTGAGTTCGTAGTAATGGCCGGATTAAAGTTTCGCAATCCGGCTTTAGATGCTTCCCTCTACTATAAAGAAAGATAGGAGACAGGTAACAACTAGTCTGATCCCTAATTCCCAAAGGTACCACGACTTTATGGCATCCCGAACAACGCACTTCAAATCGCTATCAAACATAACAAGAGGGTTTTCACCGACCTTTATGGACGAAACAGCGCCTGGTGATTCTTCAAAAGGCGACTAAAACGGTGAAAGAGCCGGTTGCGTAACGACCACTTTGCATTATCAACATGACAGGCAAAATATTGTAGAGCTTGATTGGTAGACGCCTAGAATATCACCTAGAAGAAGAGTATTCCGATTGAAAACCAAATTGGCTTCAGAAGATTTCAGTACCATAAAGTGCGTGGTCCTTCTTCAAAAGGCGACTAAACCAGCGGAAGAGTCGAGAGCGTATCGAACACATTGCATTTTCGACATGAAAGCCAAAATATTTTAAAGACCCTAAAGGAATACCTAGGAGAAGAGTCTTCTGGCGGAAAAACAACTTGGCTTTAAGAAAACATCGCTTAAACATAGATACTCTCAGAAAAATTACGGGGACTACGGTCAGGATCCTAGAGAGCACCCATTGAATGGCAGGTTGAGTAATGCAGGACTCTGTACTAGGTCCATGACTTTGAAATGCGCTGTGTAATGGGGTGATCAATACAAGGCTTAATTTCAAAGCGGATATTGGCAATGTCTGTGGT